AAAAAAAAAAAAAAAAAAAAAAAACAGGAAAAAAAAAAAAGAAAAAAGAAAAAAGAATAATAGTTCAACAACTCACCAATCTTAGAAGGAAAAAGAGTTTCATCATCAAGTTGATCCTGAACCCAAGTCATCAAATAGTCTATGTATTTTGGTGCAGAACATTTGATTGGCTTTTTAATATTAGTACCATCTGCCCAGTGGTATTCGTATCTGGAGAGAAAGAGACTTACTGGTCAAGTTTTCAAAAACATTAACAAATGTGCAACTTATAATCAAAGCAGATTCACATTTTGTCAACAGAAGTTTTATATAAAACTTCAGTAAATTACCTAAAATTCTACTGAAGATTCTCTATAGAATATATGTGATGATTTTAGATGGAAGAGAAAAGGAAGATAATGTGGCAGCTGGCAGTGCCAGAATGGGTATTTTTATAACAGCATCAGAAAAGATAAGAAGAACTACAATTCCTGTGTATTAAGCAGAGAATGCTGAGGACTGGGTGAGGGGCTGATGGGTCCACCACATTCTCAGATCCTTGGCCATCAATATCACCAACAGAGCAAAGGTTATAAAACCCTGTTTCTCAGAAACATGGTTAAAGAAACACCCTTAGGCATGTGTCTTTCCACTCCCCTTGCCTTTGCTGAGCCAGAATAATTAACAAGACTTAGGCAAAACTTCACTGTGTAAAGCATTTAAGCTGTATGTTTTTCTATTTATTTTATTTAAATTTAAGGAAGTTTGAAGAATAAAACAACACAAAATAAAAACATCCCTCTTACAACACTGTTCACTGGGGGCCTTTTTCTTCTTTATACTTGTAGCAAACTCAGAAATGACAATTTTTTCCAAGAGGTAAATATCTTGATAATCATATACCATCAAATAAAATCAGTCACTTATAAGGAAAAGACTGAAAGGAAACACACTAAAACATTAATCCCATCATGCTGACTTGACATATGGTTAATAAGGAGTACCAGCTCTTTCTCAATATTTCTTGAAATTTATTATAGTCAAATTATTTAAAATCTAGTACCTTTAAGTCAGATAACTAAAGGAGTACACTGCAAGTAATTAACACTAAATAAGCATTAAAAAAAAATCAAACATTAAAGGAACAACTAAAAACTCTTCAACTCATTTAAAAACCAGAAACAGAGCTGTAAATACTAAACTGAAAAATTAACTTTAACAGTAAAAGAAAAACCTAATTCAAATTTCTTTATTTTGACTCCTACAATTGAACATTAATACTTACTATAGTGCAATTACACTATTAAAAGGTTAAGAACGAGTACTAGTGAAGAAACCAGCAGACACAATTATTAGTAATTCAAATACCTATGTAATAGGGCAGTATGAGTACCTTGGACCTGCAGACATGACTGGACAGCTGGCTTCCGTGCAGAACTCTGTAATAGTTCCATACAACATGTTGATCTGGTTGAAGAAATCCACAGCTGGAAGACAGCAAAATTATGTTAAAATGTCGTGTAAAGACAATGAAACATCAGACCTCTCAGTTGAAGGAAAAATGGACAATGCTTTTAAATTCTTAAGTGAATCCTTGGCATATTCAACTACAAGGGGTACTGCAAATTCTCTTCTCTTTTTAATTTGTCATCCCTCAGTAAAATTTTTACATTCATGCTTAATAAACTAAGCTTTTAACCAGCATGTAACAGCAGGGAAGTGCATTAGAGATAACTGTAACTTAACAATGTCTATTATTACATCATTAGAATGTGTAATTTGAAAACACCTGAGGGAATGACAAAGCCCCTTTCTTCTTACCAATCTGGTCTAGACAATACCACCGTGCTAGGAAAGAGAAGTGTTGTAGAATATACTGTGGGAGGTGAATCAGCTTTTTAAAGATCTCATTAATCATAAAAAAATTGATTATCTAAATGTATACAGAAGACATAAAGAAGACATAGGATAATGTCCCTTACCTTGGAGTCTCCAGCAAACAGAAGGGACAAAGTTAAAAGAGATGAACTATACAACATAAAATAAGATAGTATCCAGAGGCCAAAAGGAAGTGCTAGGAAGTTCAGAGAAAAGGCACCCCTGAGGGGTTGAGGTAGTTAGAGGGCACTTCCTAAAGAGTTTCAACTAAATCTGAAAAGGAAGGGGGTAATGAAACATATTACTCTGTACAGAGAAACTACATAAGCCTTGGAAAGTTTTAAAAAATGTTTTGGTTCCCTGTATGAAGGAGTACCTAAAAATCAACTAGGGCTTTTCAACGTTACTTTAAAAACAAACATAAAAAACGTTCCATCTTATCAGGAATTTTATACAAAACTTCCTTGCTTATAAAATAAACCTTCCTCTTTATTATTAGTCATGTTTCTAAGAAAGTAGTACTTAGGCACTCAATATTCATTCAAAACAAAAGTTTGCCCATATGGTGTGCAGTCTACTGGTCTAAAGCAGCTGTTCTCAAAACAGGCGCAGGGATCCCGTGTTTCAGGGGGTTCTGTGAGGTCAGGAGCATTTTAATTGCTCTCTTCACTCTTATTCTCCCAGGTGGCACAGTAGAATTGTCTAAAAATTCTATGATGTGTGACATCACAACAGATGGAATGCAGAAGCAGATATGAGAATCCAGCTGTCTCCTAAGCCAGACATTAAGATTTGTGAACATGTAAAAACAATGCCACACTTCTCATTAAAATTTTGGAAAATAATTTTTCATAAAAATATATTTGTTAACATGTAATGGGTTTAATATTATTTTAGATAAATTTAAAAATATTTAAAATTTCTCAGTTTTAATTTCCAGCACACTAAGTATTAGTAGATACAACTTACATAATTAAAAGCTCTTTGGGGTTCTCAATAATTTTTAAGAGAATTTAGGGATCCTGTGACCAAAAGGTTTGAGAAGAGCTGAGCTAGAGCAGTAAGTCTCCAAGGAAAATCTAAGACTGAAGGCCAACAGAATCCTTCAGAATAACAGATGATTTCAAGTTCAAAAAAACAAAAGGGACTTGATAAAGGCAGCTAAACAGATCAAAGTATCTACACTAATGCAAGTATATACTACTATGTATCAAGTAGTCTTACAAACAAACAAAATCAAACCTGAATTTGATTAGAGCTCCACATCTGTGCTAACATGGTAGCCACTGGCTACATACGGCTACTTACATTAAAATTAAATTTAAAATTCAGTTCCACAGCCACATTAACCACATTTCAAGTGCTAAATGGCCACAGAGCAGATACAGAATATTTGCATCTCTGCAGTTCTACTGCACCATTACTACTCCTCTGGATCTTATGTTTATAGGAAAATGGAGGAACAGAACATGGTAATGAATGCCTTGGGGATACAATCAATAAAGTTCATACTGTGGGAAAAAAATGAACTGGTTTCTTCAACAACAAAATAGTAAGGAAAAAAGACTGCAGTGAAGGTAAACCTGTGAATGAAGAGATTTAAGAAACATATGTACAGGTCTTATTGGGTCCTCATTTAAACAAATCATACATTTTTTAAAAAGGAATATTTATAGGACAATTAATGAAAATGTGAACACTGGCTGGATATTTGATAACTTAAAGGAATGACAGTATTGTCTTTATCTTTAAAAAGGGCAGTTCTTGTCTTTTAGAGGTACTCAAATATTTACAGATGAAACAATGTCTTGGGATTCACTTAAAAATAATCAGGGTGAGATACACAAACATGAATTAGCCATGAATTGATATTATTGTTGATGCTGTTATTATCATCCAACTGATAATTGTTGAAGGTGGATAATGGATACCTGAGTATTCACTGTACTGGCTTCTCTACTTTTTTGTATGTTTGAAAATGTCCATTAAAAAGTTAAAAAATTCCTGGACATCTGAAATTTCTACTAGATTTAAACCTTATTCACCCAGAACTGATCTCATCTCAGAATCACTTTCTTAAACTCAGAGTGACTTTCAGCTCATGGGTCCCTCCCATTTTCTTCCAATCTCTCTATTTCCCTCTGACTACTCCTAGGTCACAAGAAATAAACAAGTGACTGACCACATGAACTGCAATGCACTTTTCTGCATACACAGACATATGAGGACTGTTGGGAATGGGGGCATAACTGTGAAATGGATTTCCTACAAAGGAATTCCCTTCCATAGGCAGAATCATTGCATTTATCAATCTTTTTTTTTAATTGAAGTACTGCTGATATACAATCTTATATTGGTTTCAAATATATTTATCAATCTTCTATTTGACCTCACTCTGAAATTCATACCATTCTCCTCAGACATTGCCCCCAAGCACTCATTTCTCCTCATGTCTCTACTCAACCAAACTACAATCGAGTCCTCTGAAGGGAACACCACAATTCTGAACATGTTTCTGTGTATGTTTCTATACAGATACTCCATTATACTATATTATACCTGTGAAAAAATTTAACAGAAAGATTTTAGCAAAACATTCCTATAAAGCAGCAAAGCTTGATGTTACTAAAAACTTACTGTTAACAGCAATCCATTCATTGAGGTCCTCTCCCTCTGGCAACATGACAGCTTGTCTCAGATTCCCACTTCCCAGAGTTGCTTCTGCATGTTTTAAGAGTTCATACTGATGAGAGCCTTCAGGGATATTCTTCTTTGGTTTGAATGTTTTAGAAGAGCGGCTGCTACTGTTAGGTTAAAAGTAAAAGGATAGCGATTTTTAGGACCGGAAGAATCGCATAATTTTTCGGCATATAAATTTTTCTGAAAATAAAATAAAAAAATAGTCCTGGAAAAGTGCCAGGAGGAGAGATGATGCTCACAATAGAAGAATGCTTTAAATTTTTTCCCCTCACATAGACAGTATCAGCAGCACAATTTCACACAGAATGCCATTTCACACTCTGCCTCATCAAGCAATCTGGCCCAAGAGAAAGGGCTTAACCAAATGAAGGAAAAACCTGGATTCTAGTCCTTGATCTACCAGGAACTCTGACTGCCTGAAAAACCTAACCTCTTTTGGCCTCTATTTCCACCTACAGGAAATGATGCTGGGAGGAAGCCCTAAAATTTTGAGTTCAAAAATCCAGTTTTCTGTAGCAAAATATTTGTGATATCATAAAAAACCACAGTAGAACTAACAGTAACATCCGAAAATAAATGAGAGACAACTGGTTCCTGGGGAAAAATACGAGTTTTTATTCCTATCTCACACCATCCATAAAGGTCTTCCTAACATGACACAAAACCCAACAAGAATTGGCGCATTTCTAACCACAACAACTAAAACTTCCATGACAGAGACAAGTAAGGAAAAGAGAACTTGTATTGCAAAGTATTAACATGTATTCTATAATCTGTTAAGAAAAAAGTTAAGGAACCCTTTAGAAAAATGGGCTACAAGTAGGCAATTCAGAAACAAAACTACAATGACATATGAACATTTGAAAAGTTGTTCAATTAAAGGAAGATATTTTTCCTTAATCTGAGTGTCAGAAGTTAAAACAATTACATTGTAAGTGGGCTTGAGTATAATAGAGAAATTAGTGCTTTGGAACACTATTGGTGAACATGTAAAGTGTTTAACATTTTGGGAGGGCAATATGGCATTATCTATTAACACTGAAATGTCCTAAATCCATCCCTTCTACTTCTGGGCATCTCTCCTAGATATGGATGTGTTTTCCAGGATCATTTTTAATACTGCAGAACTTGGAAACAACCCTAAAGTTTATTAGTAGAGAAATAAACCATGATACATCCAGATCATTGACTACTGCATAGTGAAGAGCAACAATAGTATAGTTAAGAACAAGACAGAGCTCAATGCATTTAAAAATGGCAAAGATCTCTAGATATAATTAAACATATTATAAGACAAAACATACAGAAGCCAATTTTATAAATGCATAAAAAAGTGTCAGAAAGGATACACATCAGACTGATACTGGTGATTACTTCTATGAAGAGGAAGGGAGTGTAACTTCACTTTACCTGAGTAAACAGCATTTTAAAAAACACTGATTAAAAAGTAAAAAAACCTATGAAAACACTATGGAAAATATGGGAAGTTCTTGTTTAGCATGATAAAGAACTAAATTTAACAAATAAAACATTACATTAGAAAAACGGACCTTTACAAATAGAAACAAGAAGCTGTGAACGACAGGAAACTAAAAATAGAAAACTTACATGAAATGGTGTCTCAAGATTTACCTACATAGGACTTCTGTGCTTCAAAATGGTACCATCAAGACAGTGAAAACAGTCTACTATGAAAATATGTGTGAATCACAGATGTGATGAGACCTGTACCCTGAATAAAGAATTCTTTACAACTCAAAAAAAGACAACACAATTTAAAAATGGTCAGAATTTTAATAGACATTACTCCAAAGAAGATATACAATTGGACAATACACACATGAAAGATGCTTAACATCACTAATTATGGGGAAATGCAAATTAAAATCATAATGAGATACCATTTCACATCGACTTAGAATGGCCATAATAAAAAATATGACTACAAGTGCTAGCTAGGGTGCAAGGGAATCGCAAACACACCGTGCTGGTGGGAATGCAAAATGCTTTGAAAAAGTTTGGCAGTTCTTCAAAGATTAAACGTTTAGTTACATGTAACTCAGCAATTCTACTCCTAGACACTCGAGAAATAAATTAACACATACATCTAATACAAAAAAGTTCACAGCGGCATTATTCGTGACAGCCAAAAATGTGAAAACTCAAATGTCAACAAAACTTAAAAAAGAAAAAAAAGCCTTCACATTTAGGTCCAAAAAGCAACTAAGCAACTAGGCATCCACAAACAAACCACTAACTGAAGATTAAGTCATAAGAAAAAGACTGGGCGGGGATGGGGGTGAAGGGTATATTGTTCTACTAATATGTAAATTGCAATTAAAACCTAATATCATAGATTTTTTAACAAGGTAAACATACTTTGGAGATTATACCCTTAAAAAAAAAAAAAAAAAAAAAATCCAGGAGGGAAAAAGCGGTTTGCTCAACGCTATTCTTGGCAGTGTTATTTTAAACAGCAAAATATTAGAATGAATCCAAATTTCTCACAATAAGGAACTGGGTAGATAAACTCTGATTATGGAACATTATGTAATTTAATAAGAAATCAAGTACGTGGGTGTGTTGTAACTAAAAATGGGTATTTATTGACACACAACACATAGGCACTATACTAGGTAAAGAGTCACCTTAGAATAATGAAGGTTCTAGAGCAATGCTTCTCAAACCTTAATGTGCTTAAGAATCAGAGAATCTACAACCTTTTTCATTTAAGCCCAGGCGTTAAAGTAGGATTCTACCAAGGAAGAGAGAAGTAGGTTAATTACGCAAAGTCACAAAGTGGGCTGAAGCAGAACTGGGCTGAACCATCTGAACGCAAAGCTGTGGGTAAAATTGTAACATTTCCAGAATATCTCGCCTGGCTTTAGTATATCTGCATATCAACAGGCGCTCAAGGATGGAGAGAAGTATGGCTTTAGTGCATTAGCATCATTCCTCAGGGGTGGAGAAGTTCATCTCCATATCAATGGGTAATTACCTGGGCAAGGAGGGCTTATCTGTACCCGAGAGGTGAGGGGAGGGCCGGTTTTGCTTCAGCTGGAGCAGGAAAGAGAGAAGGGCTCGGGAGGACTGCAGTTTGTAAGCAGTAAATGAATTTTAAACTTTATTTCTCCCTTTGACTGATTTCGGTTTTTAGAGGTATTTTGCCCGGGGATTTCCTCTCCCCAGACTTACAAAAGCCTGCAGCTTAACTTCAGGCGACACTTCACGCTTTCCTGGGGCGACATTTTTTCGCGGGGGTAACAATAGTGACGGTAATAAAACGACATAAGGTTTTTTTTCATTATGAGGCACAGAAAGCTAAGTCAGCATGGATCATTACTGGAAGGCTCGCGACCTGAGACATACCGGAGTCCGCGGCTGATCCCGGGACTCCGCCCCCAGATCGTCCCTCCGCCCTCAGGGCCGTTCGGGCGGAAAAGTTTGGAGGCGCTACCGGCCTCGGGGCCTTTCTACTCCCAACCTTCCTCACTCCGCTTCTTTTGCCTCGACCTTCATCTCCGTCCGCCTCGGCTCACGTCTCAGGCTCCCCCGTGGCCCCAAGTGGGGGCAAAGCAAGCGCCGGCCACTCCGGCCCCAACCCCGGGGCCGGGCCCTCGCCTCAGGCGCCCGCTCGCCCCCGGCCTCGACCTTGGCCCTCAGCCCTCAGCCCTCAGCCCTGGAGCGTCGGCCTCACCACACTCACAAGAGGAAGCTCATCTTCTAGCCTCAGAGGGGAGGGGAGGGGCCGCTGGCCCCCGCCGCGGTCAGGAGTCGGAGCCGGCGCGGGAACCGACAGGAAGCAGACGGGCCTCAGACTTGGGACCGCGAAAGCAGCGGCCGCCGCTGCTCCGAGCCGGGGGTCGAGCCGGTACAAGCCGGTGGAAGCCGCGGCGCGAACCTCGCTCGCTATCCAAAGCTTGCCGACTTGAAATGCGGAACCAACAAAATCTCGCGAGCGAAGGCTACGCCTCTCCCCTCCCCTCCCCGCCCCCAAGAGAGGGATTCGGCGCGCCTCTTTTTGCCCCGCCCTCTCCTAAAGTTCAGCCAATCAACGGCGTCCAGGCCGGGCCTTCTCCCACAGTCTCGGTGGAATGGGGTCCTCGCCCTGGGAGTACTGCTCTGCTTCATCTACATTGTTGCTCTTGAGTTCCATCCCTGCTTCTTGGAGGGCAGGAACCTCTATTAGAGCTGCAATTTAAAAAATTAAGTTTGTTTTTAAATTGAGATATAATTCATTTGACAAAAAATTCACCCTTTAAAAATGGACACTCCAGGGCTTTTTTTGTATATGCAGAGTTGTATGACCATCCACTGATTCTAGAACATTATCATCACCCAAAAAGAAACCCATTAACTGTCACTCCCCATCCCTTCCTCCTCATAACCACTGGCAGCTAGTCTACCTTCTTTTCATATGGATTTGTCAAACTTGGACATTTCATATAAATAGAATCATATAATATGCGATCTTTTGTAACTGGCTTTTTTCACTTCCCGTAGTATTTTCAAGGTTCATCATGTTATAACATGTGCCAGTACTTCATTCGTTTTTATGGATAAGTAGTATTCCATTGTGTGAATACACTGTGTTTTATTTACCCATTCATCTGTTAATGGACACTGGGTTGTTTCCACTTTTCAACTGCTGTGAATAATGCTACCATGAGCATTCCTGTGCTGCTTTTTGTATGAGCAAATGTGTTTATTTCTCTTGGGTATATACCTAGGAGTGTCTGAGTCATAGGGTATGTATAACTTTTTGAGGAATGGCCAGACTGTTCTCCAAATCAGCTGCACCACTTCACATTCCCCCTGGCAAATGTCTGAGAGGTCTAATATTTTCACAATCTTGATAACATTTTCTACTGTTTATCTTTTTGATTATAGCCATTCTAGAAGGTGTGAAGTGGCATCTCATTGTGATTTGGATTTGCATTTCCCTATTGGTTGCTGTTGAGAATCTTTTCGTGTACTTATTGAAACAAATTTATTTTTATCTTCCTTTATAGTTACCTCAGCACCCCCTCTCTCCAAAAGACCATTCAAGAACTCAAAAGGTCCAGTAACAGTCTTCACTCACGGTCTCCAAGACATCACCATCCCTTAATTTCTCAACACCTGTCAGTCCAGATTCGGCCCCCTGCCTTCCCTCCCACAAAAGCTTTCTCACCAAGCTCTCCAGTGTCTTCATTTCTAACCCTGTGGGCATTTTTCAATCCTTATCTTACTAGCCACTTTGTTCTGTCTGGCGCATTCTGCCAGACTCCTCATTTGATTACAGGGATTTTATTTTTAAAGAACCTCTTTATTACTTCATGTGATGTTATAGAAGGCAGAAGTGGGCGCACAGAAAAGGGGAGACTAGGGCCAGAAATGTTGCAATAGTCTACTTTAGCCAGGTTTTTTTGGCAGCAAGTGACAGAAACCCACACTGTTCATATCTCCATCAGACCTGTCTTACATTTTCTTTCCCGTTAGACTGAATTCCTTTTGGGGGCAGAGATACAACTTGATCATTTGTCATCCGCAGGGCTCAGCACGGTGCGCAGATACTATTTAATAAATGCTCACTGAAGGAATGGAGATATAGACTGGAATTCCCAGTCCACTAGAAGTGATCCATACAGGAATGAATGGTAATCAGTATGGCACTACCAGTACTGATAAGATGAAAGGTGAAGGAATTCTAGGCTTTTTGGATGTGGCCTTAACAGCTTTTTAGCTTTGTTGTTCAAGGTAATGCTCCTGCCAAAAATTCCTTGCTAATTTCCCCAACAAGCCATGGACATCCTTGAGTCCTTGCTCCTGTTCTTGCAGGTCCTTTTGCCTGGAATGCCCCAACATCCACATCACACCCTGTCCTTCACAATCCAGCCAGAAATCCTCTTTCCATCCTTTGAACTCTGGTAGCCCTTTATATATATATCCTTCATACAATATATATAGTTCAAGTTAAAAAGTAGTATTTACATATTAAACAGTTGTGTTGGTGGTTGAATTTGAGGGTTTATGTTCTTTCATATTTTTCTATATATTCCAATTTCTCTCTAGTAAGCAAATACCAATATCATTTTTAAGCTTTTTTTTTTTAAGGGAAGCAAGGTAGAATAGGGACTGAAAAGCTTACATCCAAAGTTTGAACCCTGACAGAGCTACTTAGTAACCACATGACCTTAAGTATTTTTATAACTTTCTGCCTCAGTTTTCTTACCTGTGAAATGGAGAAAATCTCATAGGATTCAGAGGATTCAAAGAATTAAGGTATAGAACTCCAGACAGTTCTTGGAACTTGGATATAGTCAATCAACTTTTGCGATTTAAAAAGGAAGAAATTTTGATATGTTTTATCACCTTTGTTAGATGACCAGCTCCCTGAAAGCAAATCCCTGACTTACTTATCTGTGTATTTTGCATATGCCTGTTGTGGGGCCTTGTATAAGGAATACACATTCAGCTAAAATTTGCTAACTGAATCCCATTAGGTATCTGGCTAAATGTTATTTTAGACAAATTCTTTAACTGATACAGTCCCTGAATTTCAGTAGTTCTTGTGTAGCTTAGAAAGTAGTTGTTTGTATCTGTTTGTTCAGAGTACATTCTCACTTTTCCCCCTTTTATGGAGGGTTTCCCAATGGAGAACAATCTCTGGTCAAGTGGCAAGGAAATGACCAGAAAGCAACACATATTTTCTGGGAGGGATGGAAGTGCCTAGATCCTTCCCCAAACATTTTTACAAGGAAGCCGTGAGGAAAATCTACAGAAATATATCACTGAGATACTGGAGTGAGAGCCACAAAGAAAGTCCTATGCTGGTCCTGTATCCTTAGCTTCTGAGAAAGAACACAGCCATTAAAATGCTGGAGCATGCTAATGTGGGAATTGGATCTGTATATCTTGGATACCGATGTGTTTTCTATGCAAATTTTTTATACAGAATTTTCAGCTTGTTGTACACACTTTCTGTCACACACAATTTTCTGGACCATGTATTCTAAAGGAAATATGATATGGACCACATGTGTAATTTAAGCCTTTCTAGTGTATATATTTTTAAAAAGCAAAAATAAAAATAAAAAACCCAGGTGGAATTAACCTTGATATACTTTACTTACTTTAATGCTGTCCAGCAGCTCCGTCTGGGGGAGGTTGCTCCCTGCACACTAGGGGAAACCTCAACCCGGACAGGGGTTTCTTGACTCTGATCAAGGAAGAATTCACAACCAGGTTGGATGAGTGTAGGTAAGCAAGAAATGCATTAAAGTGAGAGTAACAGCGGATGGCAGCAGCTGTGCAGGCATCAGAGAGTAAAGAAGAGCAGAGGGAGGAAAGGGAAGTTTATTGAATTCCTGCTCTGCGTGGGGCAGATCCTTTGACAACTCCTAAAGTCACCTGGTGTCCAGTGTCTGTTTGAATCTGCATGGTGTGAGAAACAAGCCCCTACCAGTCCAGTATTTGGGTGAGATTATGTTCTGAGAACTTCCCATAGCAAAGAAAGGAAATTTGCAGGCAGGCTGCTAAAGAACGTGATCGTACAGCTGCAGTCCTGTCCGGGTCACCCAGGTAACAGGACCTTGCAAGCCCAAATCAGAGATCTTAGTAGCCCTTCCCTACTTGTCTGAAGTAGGACAGAGTGAAGACTTGTGCTTAAGCCTAGAAAATAGAATGAAATAGCAGGGTAACAAAGACACTACTGGGAAAACGGTCTCTTATTAATCTCCCTTGGAAGAGTGCAGAGACAAGACACAATAAATTGAGCAGCAAGAAGTCTTTATTTAAAGCAACGTACGCACTTGAAGAAAGGCAGTCTCAGAGAGGAGGTGCACTTAAAGCTCAGGATTTGTGTCTTTTAAGTATTTCAGGAATGGGACAAAGGTTAGGGACTAGGTGGGGAGAGGAGCATAGGCTTGACTTGTGGTATCCTGATGTCTATCTCCAGTGAGAGAAATTACAGTTATCATCCATAGTCCTCTAGATATTCTGTAAGATAGACTTAACACAATGAATTTTTTGATCCTATTCTTCTTCAAGTGGTTACCCTCAGGCAGTGGAAACATATCATTTGGAACTGCTTGTCCCACCTTAACTTAGGATAGGTTATTTGGCTGATTACCATAAAATATGTTAGGAATCTT